GCACGCAATTCATACATGTTGGTAACCTGCAATTATTTAGCTACTGAATGAAGTAGATTTAATCAACATTGTCAAAATAAAATTATACATTTAATTTTACTTTACGTCAAACTTTTTCAAGATTTGAAAATGCCATTTAGTTTTATGATCAAGTAATTTTCTAACCCTAGAATCCAATGTTCTACACAGTAAAAATAGATTGGTCAAAATGACAAAAAAATTGGTCATTTGAATGCACCTGAGAAGAATAATTTTTATAGGTCAAAACAACCAATTCCTAAATTGGTCAAAAATACCAAAAACAAAAATGGTTAAATTTACCAATTTATTTGACCAATTTTATTTGGTTGTTTTTACCATTAAATAAGCATTTTTTTCAGGTGCATATCCATGACCATTTGAGCAATATAGAGGATCTTTTTAACTAAGCTAAAGAAAATCAATCACACAATTATAAATAGCACATTTTTTGCAAACACAGAATACTTAAAATCTCTACTACATGCCATTAATTAACACTACAAAAGTTTTCTACTTCATAGAAGAAATAAAATGATCGACAAAAGTTGGCAATTGAGCCTTACAATTGCATTTTGAATTTAAAAGCAAATGTTCTAAAAGAATAAATACATTTTTGCAATGTCCATTAATGCCTTTAGGATACTCAGCATTAAAAGTATAAAAGAACTAAGTAAAATAATAACTGCATTGACAATATTTTCCATTTTCAGCTTTGCCACAATCATCCCCTCAGCCACCAACATTATTGAATGAATGTTTCTTAATGTTCCTGTTGATAGGAGTCTAGGAGACAAACTTTTTTAATGATCTCTTGAACTTCCCCCAAGCTTTTACTCTTCAACAGAGATAAAATTATTTATCAATTTTCTCACACATTTATGCAGAAAATATTATTTGTGACAATATCAACTCTTACATCAACAATGTCCCAAAATAGCTTTTTGTTCATATCTCGATGGGTGCATTGGTCATCTAACACATAAGGCAAACATGCCATTATACACCGGTTCTTGACCTCTAAAATAATCAACATAGCATAGAATGAATATATTACCATTATCACTCTCTAAAGCATTAACACTTCAGTATAAATAGGGATTTTAACTTATTGATTTTTACACCAACCTTTCTCATCTTCAACTGGACAATCCTCCAGCTCTTCAAGGATACTGCTGACATTCTTTTGCTTTGTCTTTTTAATAGCAGACAGCATTTTATATTTGTGCAAATTCCATCGTTCCTTCATGTCTTGCACAACATCACTTCTCCAAAATACGTCCTAACTCTGCTTTCAGCTGGAAAAAATTTAACCAAAAACTAATTATCTTTCTCTAAGTAATTGTGATTCAACAGACAGTTTTGCTACAGCATACATACTCATGGACAGCGGCAGATTAATAATTGGCAAAAAACTCATATTCATAAATTCATATGCTACATATAATCTGTTGAATTAAAATTGCTTGTAGTACTAGAATCTAGTAAAGTATACCATGCACATATGAATATTACCCTCTCATCAGGCTAACATGCCTGATACTTCAACCCATACCTAAACCATTTTATGTAGAAAACCTGTAAGGCTTCAATTTACCTTTTGAGTAACGTCATTCCAAATACACGTAAACTTCTTGTGAAGTTTTATTCGAGGAATCATCTGATAAATATCATGTGGTTCTAAATTGAAAAAATCCTCGCCGTCGACTTGATTAGCTTTAAAAATGTAAGAAGCAAAACGTCAATGAAATTACGTTATTGCTGTTGGTATTCTCTAAAAGTGCTCGACTAAATCTGCCTGCTAGCAAAACGTAAACAAGGCAAGTCATCTATAAATCTAATTTTGAATTATTTTCTATACTAGATTTATGCACGAGACAACAACCCTCACACATGCGACCTACATTTCAGGATGAGACAATACCTTTAAAATCTTCGACAATTTCATCCAATTTATTGTTTTTCAAAAAAATAATTATGTCAGCGACAGATGATTGTTTGTTGATTTCCATTTTGCCCACAATACAAGAGTTTAAACGCTTAAATGCACTTCAACAAAGCACAAGAAGTTTAGAAACACGCCACGCGACTACATACATCGGCAACAGGAAGTCAGGCACGTGCCGCTTGGCGTAATGGGATGTCATGTGACCAAATCGACCAATCGCCGCAAGTTCGCAACTAATTGGACAAAGAAATGCACTTAATGACACTTAATATTGATCTGATTTTACTCATTCATTGCTCTAACAAACGGTAACGGAGTTGTCACTTGACTAGTGACGCAAGAATATTCGTAAAAATTCAATTAATTATGCCACGATTGTGTTGTCAGGTATGTGCAACGTTTTTCAACGTCTGTCGCTGGAATGTTGCATCATTTGGTCGCTGTTCATGAACACGATGCCAGATTGCATATTCTCTGCGAAGTGCCGGAATGTAATTCAACCTTCGCTAAGGTAAGCTTTTGATTCTTGATACGACACTGATTTGTTTGTTATTTGTTAAAAATATTTACTTATTCAGTGCGTTCACGGATTTGTTGTTTAGGTTAACTCTTACAAAAGTCATCTTAGAAGAAAGCACGCCAATGTTGACTTAAACTCACGTCATCTATGTTGCGTTGAATCAGCGAGTAGCACTCACAACAATTTTTGTCCTGATGAGGATGGCCTTGAACTCTTAATTGATGAATTCAACAGGGAAAATGAACTTGATGACTTTGTTCAAGCAATGGAACACAAAAGGCTCAATTTCTTCCAAAAACAAAAGAAATCAATCTGCTCACACAAAAATGTGTGGATAACATTGTAGAAGATTCCACTGAACTTGTCCAAAGAACATTCAAAGCAATTAAACACGGTTTGCAAAATTGCTTAGAGAAAGCTGGATTAAATTATAATGATGTGCCAAGTCTTGATGAATTATTTGATGAAGGACATGCTATCTAAAATCCATTCAAACATATTTCCACAAAGTATAAACAGAATGCTTATTTTGAGGTGCATTTTAGCTTAGTTGTAAGTTTTATTTCTATGTTTTTTGACTAATTTTAGAATGTTTAGAGTAGTTGGATAAATTTTTTTGAGATTTTTAACATATTTGAGCCAGCTGCTCTTTAGTGCTTGTTATGCATAATCATTATTTTAATTGTAGCAACCCAGACGAATTAAACTTGGACACACAGTTGTGAAAAGACGTTCAAGGACTGTGTACAAAGAGGTTATTAAAGATGACAAAATCATTTACATACCATGCTTAAATCCTTGGAAAAAATGCTCAATGTAAAAGGAGTACTTGAACAGGTCAGATTGTTAATAGCATGGTTGTGTTCTTTTTTATGTTGGCAAGTTTATCAAACTATGACAACTACATCTTTGCAAGTACCCATATCAATAACAGGGTTGCAAAATATTAATACATGTTCTATGTATAACCACAAAAGGAACTTTATGTGTGTTTTACTGTGTTAGTTTCCATGAAAGCAAAAACAATGATGACATGCGTTTATTAGAGCACATTTCCAAAATATATTCCAATTATTTCATGAAAATATGAAAATAGCCTGATTTTAATTTGAAATGTCTGATGGTAGGAAGGCACCCATCCTACCACCAGACATTTCCATTGCTGGTTAATAATAAATTTAATTTATTAATAAATTTAATATTTTCATTCTTCGATTTCAATTTCAGCTAAACCATGGTCATCTTCGCAACATAAACATGATGATGTGATTGAGGATGTTTGCGATGGCCAGTATTTCAAAACCCATCCTCTGTTTTCCAAGGACTCAACTGCTTTACAAATCATGCTTTACTATGATGAGTTGGAAATTGCAAATGCCCTTGGTAGTAAAACTGGAAAGCATAAGTTAGGTAATAGTTTAATGACATCTTAGTGACTAAATCAGTCACTCAAATGTAAAAAAGTGTATGAGCAATGAAAGGCTATAAGAAGCTCTTATTTCATCATATGCCATTATTTCTGTATGACAGGAGTTGTTTACTACACAACTGGAAATATTGATCCTCGATATCAATCCCAGTGTGATAACATTCACCTACTCCTTATGGCAACAGTTCCAATTATCAAAAAATATGGCATTGACATTCTCTTGGAGCCTTTCATGAATGGCCTTGAATACCTTCAACAAGTAAGTGATCCTATTTATTGTTTTTTAGCTTATTACCTGTAATTGTGCAGAGTAAGTAGTTTGATAAAGATTGCTTAAAATGAACTGTCACACTTCCTTTTTGAGGATGGTGGTCACCAGTTCATTGTTAAAGGTGAACCTATGTCATTTTCTGGGACTATTGTGTTGGTTTCTGGAGACAATCTTGGATCACAACTCATGGGTGGATTCAAAGAAGGTCCAGGTGCACATTTGAAATGCCGGCAATGCATGGGGACCATTGAACAAATAAAGCAAAAGGTATGTATGTTTATGATAATACATTATTAACCTGTTTCAACATAGATCAAATGTTTTATTATGGTTTTTAGCAGACCAGGAACATACACTTTAAAGTAAGTCTTTCAGTTTTTAGAAAAACATTTTACACTTTGAACTCATGCTGGTCATGACCGCCAATGTGAACTGATTGAAGAAAACCAAGAACTGAGTAAAGCATGTGGGCTTTGCAGGAGATCAATTCTTTGCAACTCTAGGTATTTTCATGTAGCAGATAGCATGCCAGGTGATGCAATGCATGATATACTAGAAGGAGTACTTCAGTATGTATGTAAAGAATTGCTGAAGGACTTCATATTTAAAGAAAAATTTTTAACAGTGGAGCAACTTAATGAAAGAATTAACTCTTTTGATTATGGATATTTTAATGATAAAACAAGCCATCACCAATCACCGGACAACTTTGAGGAGTGAAAACAATAGTTTAAAGCAAAAGGTAGGGTGTAGTGATTGTCACAAGCATTAATACCATCACCCTTGATTTAAATGATTGGTTTTTCTTTTATAGCAAGACAAATGTGGTGCCTTGGAAAATTCCTTCCTTTAGCTCTCGGCAGTGCCATTCCTCAGGATGAAGAAAAGTGGATGCATTTTCTGTTGCTCCTTAAAATTGTTGACATTGTTTTTTCACCAATCACAAACACTGATGAACTTGCTATCCTGGAAGGATACCTGAAGGAATTTTGTGGAAATTCACCCAGCTTTATCCTGGGCTTTCAGTTATACCCAAGATGCATTACTTGGTTCATTACCCAGCTCATATTTACAGGTATGATTTTGCTGGTTTGTATCTTAGTTTATAAATAAAAATATGGTATGTAACTCAAAATGCATGTAAAATTACATCATTGGTTTCCCTCTAGCTAACATGAGTCCTTGATTTTTTCAGATTTGGACCAATGATTCGGAGCTGGTGCATGCGATATGAAGCAAAGCACAGTTACTTTAAAAGATTGGCTTCATACCTTGGAAACTTCACTAATGTTGCACTTAGCCTTGCTGAACGACATCAAACCAGAAGTTGCTATCTAAGAAATCAACCCATTGCAAAAAAGCCTAAAATTGGTAGGATTTTTTTGAATAGATTGATTTTAATTCTAAAACAAAGAGGTCAATTTTAGTAACCTCTCTAGTAAGATAATAAATTGATGTTTGTTTGTTTCTCTTTAGATTCTGCAAAAGAAATTGTTGCTAAGGATAGTGAACATTATTATTTGCTCAAAGAGAAGGAACCTAACTTAAGTGACATTAGTATTTTGTCAAGGTAAAGTACACATAGTGATTATTTTTATTACAGAAGATGGTGACTATTGCGAGAAAAAATTGCTAGTACTTTATAAAATGAAACCATGGCTGTAATCTGACTCTTAGACAATTTTAGATCCAACCCAGATCCTGTGGGTTTTGCACCCATTATGCGCTTAATTTGCGTCTTAGTAAGCATAAGCAAGTCAAGGCCGTCAAGTGCTTTTTTGGTAAGTCGTATAGTCACTCCGGTTCCGTCTCTGACTGCCTTTGCCAGGTTATTTTTCTGAGCCGTTGAAAGTGTAACGCCGTGAACTGTGTAGTTATTACGTCCACCACCTTTAGCAGCTGCACCACCTTAACACCACTACCAGCAACTGCTTTTGCGTGCTGCCGGTGATAGCACCTGATATAGCTGCTAGGCCTAGAGACGGTAACACTTTGGTATGAGTTTAGTGACCGTAGGTATGAGTTTTCAATAAGATTTCCAATAAAGCTACCGCCTTCTATACTTCTTGACCCAGGAAGATAAATACCAGCGCCTTTAAATTCCTGAGTGATTACTCGCTCCATGGCGGGTCTGAGAGCTTCAACAAATATTGCGTTATTAATGTCCGACATTTTTGTGCACATGCAAAACAATTTGCGTATATAAACAGTCTAAAAATTTTTTGTTTCTTTAATATCATTAATTATTTTAAATAATAACATATCACATCAGACAAACAGTCTAAACGATTATGTCCATTTTACCGTTTATCCCATTAAGTCGAATAAATCGTTCGCTAAGCACCAAGCAGAACATGTTATACGCATTGCTGCCACCAGCATTAATCGCGCTACGAAAAGCTTGGTTCAAGGTCCAACGAATTCTAATGTTTGCCTCTTTTTTTCTCAAAACATCGGCATGATGACTTACATCGAAATGGTAAATAGGAAACAGGCTTGCAAAGTCTCCTAAGCTTACTTGAGAGCCTGTATCTGGATCGCTGTACTTCATTGCAGCGTCTTGAAACATCATGTAGGCTCTGCTGTAATTGCTGTTAGCAGCTGTGTAATTAACATCAAGCTCTTTTTCAGGATACTTTTGAGTGTTATTGATCTCAACATAAATTCGACTTAAATTAGCATGTTCAAAGACATGTATAGTTTGTTCTTGATTGTTAAAGCGTCCAGCGTCTTGGAAAGCCACAAAGATGTGAGTTGGCAGCTCTTCATTACTGTTTGTTGTTACAAACTACGATCCAATGGTCTGATTATGGCCAAATCGTTTTTGGTTATACGACTTTGCTCGAAATACAGCACGCGTGTGTATCCAGCGACCAACTTGCTTTCTATCATATTCTGCACTTCGATTGAAGGCCTGATGAAAGGAACCCAAAGCGAAAGATGAATATGCGAAAGGCATATTTTAAGATGAACTCAAACTTTCAATGCGTTATTTAAATCTCTACCTTCCTACATACACGAAGAATATTTGCCGAAAGCGAAATATATCTTTGACTTTTCGATAACATGTTCAGGTAAATGTGATTTTTGATATTCGTGTTTGGAGAGAACTCTCTCTTTGATTGAAGTGTGAAATGTAAACGACATTAATATCTTTATGCAAAATGTGTTACCTAAATATACGTCTTCTTATAAAGTTTTCGTTTTTGTTAATGTTAATTCTTTGCTTTATTTTAGACGTGACATTTACTGTTAATGCGATCGAAAAACATAGAACAAATGTTGGTGGTTTTAATTCACCATGATGTAGGACTTATATAGATAAAGAAATTGATTATTGACCACGATGAAAACGTATTTGGCTTTTGTTCACCATTCCCTTGAGGCTGAGCTATTTACGAATTGATATTCTACTTCGTCTGAACTGCTTTATAACTGAGGAGATATGAAGATGGTAAGTATCTTTTTCCTCCTTCATCGTTTTTGACAGTAATTTTACAAGACGTATATATATTGTGAGTCTACCAGGCCGTTTATATGGCAAGCTATGAATGGGAAATGAAAAGATTTTGTTCTTTAGCGACGTTTTAATCTCCAGTGTCTTCAAGTCAAATGCAGTTTATTGGCCTTTGGCTGTTTTAAAACGTTTTCCTCAACATTTTTCTTTCTTAGATCACGATTCTTGTCTCGACAATTGATCGAAAGACAAGTCACTTTTAACCAACGATTTATGATGGTAAGATTTTTACAGCAACAAAATAAACTCATGAGAAAGTTGTGTTTATCTCAGGTGTATAACTTAACTATTGTAACTTTACACAATTTCATTTTCTTTACAGATGAATAATATTACGCCAACTTGATTAGTACAATCTAGTACAACTTGATTAACAGCGGGTAAAACAGTGCTTTATGCTTTTACTTCTTCCAAATGCTTCACAGTGTAGTTAAACACCTCGATCGATTTCAGCGTAGTGAGCTTACACTTGATGATCTTTGCAAATTTTTGCAATCAAAATATCTTACAATATGTCTCAAAAGAACTGGTCATCTTTGAAATCAGCCGATAGTTTGAAATTTGCATGATTCAGCGGCAATGATTGATCTCCACGCTAGGAGGTATAAATGTAATTAAAATAAGTTTCTTGACTGAGATTTTTAATGCACTGTAGCTTCTATATTATACGTATGTAGTTATTAATTTATTATGTATTTAACTACGTTTAATTAAGGCTCCTTGAGGATCAATTTTTGCTGAATCATGGAAATTGTAAATTTCAGATAATTTCAAATATTGTCAAGGTTGAAAAATAAGACATCACCATGAAATATGTGATAGTCAGTCAACAAACCAGCAAAATCAAAGTGAAGCACCTTTCATGTTGATGGAAAAATGCTCAAAGGTGAAAGAATGCGACTTTGACCAAAATTTTTCAACGCGCTTGCATTTCACTCATTTTCCTTCCAAATCGCAACAAACAACATAGCATTCCATAGCTAGAACCTAGAACTCTTATTTTAAATATTTAAAACTGCAGTTATTTATTCAGTAATTTACACACATCAGCAAGTAAAAGTTGAATTACCTTTTTTTGAAACACCCTGTATCAAGAACTTAGATTCCCAGACCAAGGGGGTTCCCATTTGGATAAATCAACTTAAATGTATATTTTATTAAATACGTGTATAATTTACGGAAAATAAAAAAATAAGAATCAAAGGAAGATATCAGAATTCAGCCTTTAATAACACCATGACAACTCGTAGTGTATAGCAAGTCTACCAGTGCTATGAAAATAAATATTTTGTTGTTCAATTACTTTTTCGTTACTCACTACACTACATATGAGATGACAACAGTAAATATAGGCCAGACACACATAATTAGAGTAAAAGCTCCATTTTTCTTGGCTACATCACTACCTAAAACATACATAAAGATAAATTACATTGTCAGGTGGTCACCAATTCCAGATCTATCAAAACGCTTGTCAGCAAAGGATTTTTATTGTGTTTAGTCTTTAAAGAAAGGAATGGATTTGTGGCTCCATTTCAAGGAACAAGATGCTTTGTTAGCCCTGGCTTTTGGGTATGTTTTCTTTCTCCTTTAGCTAACCAGCAACAGTTGTATTTTCAATTTCTGTAGGCAAAGGTTTAAATGGAGTGTTTGTTTTGTTCTTTTTGTTGTTTAATAAGAAAAATCTTAATATGTACATTATTTACATGTAAAATTTATAGTGCTTAGTAAGTTTTCTAAAAAGCCCAAACACTGGCTTTGCTGTGTAAATATACAAATTTCTGTTCACTGTGATGAATGGTAAAATATAATTTGTATTTAAAAGAATTGTGTGTGGAGAGAAGGTCAATAGTTTGGTTACTTGATTCAACATTTCTTTCTATTTACGGTTGGGGATTTACACCTTAATTGTTGTGACAATGTTTTTTTTTCGCTTACATTTAAATGTAGTAAATCTCATTTTTAATTTATATTTGATTTTCTTGGGATCAGAGATAACCACAACATTTTGTATTGTGATTTTGTGGTAAAATCATTTATGTAGCTGGGAGAATCAGTTTCAAAGCAATGTAAAGTATAAACTAAAGCAAAAGCAAGACATGAATGTCATAGCAATGAAAATGACTCATTACTGTCCATATCAGTAGTAAAGACACCAGTAGAAATGACTCATTTACTGTTCTTATCAGTTGTAAAGACATTAGCCAAAAATGTCTGGTCATGTCATTCACTCCTGAGCATGGATACATACTTTAAAGGAGGGTGTTGCCTTAGAAATATATTCCTAATATAAACTTTTTTAGTTTGTACAGAAGTTCTCTAATGTTCAAATATTGTTTTGGAAAATAATAAGAAGAAGTTCCTTGCAAAATGAAATACTAACTGTTACACACAATGCCAGAGCTCTCCAAGATGCCCTGGGAATAAATGACATAGCAGACTCTTTATTTTGGGTAGGAGGCACATATTCATATATTCATGTTCTGCCACATTAAGTTCCTTTGAAATCCATTGTTTTAAAGAGATTAAGACATGCATATATGAATTTGTGCCCCCCCCCAATTAACAAGTATCCTGCGCCACTGCTGGGATTTTTTATAAAATTAGTAAATCTGGTAGTAGGAGAGTTAAATGTGTCATTTTCACTTCTGTCAATGCTATGGCAATGATATCCTGCTTTTTCTTCTTTAGGTTATTTATAACTTTTACTTTACACTGCCTTTATAGTTTGAACTATAAAAAGTATTATTAAATCAATCATTAAATGTTTCCTCCAAAGTAAAAAAGAACAAACATTGTCACAACAATTAAGGTGTTAGTCCCCAAATCAAGTATGATTGAATCAAATAAGAATAACTGCATGTCCATTTCAAACAACTACAATTCTCATAAATAGAAAGTATATTTTGTAAATTGTATGAATGAATAGAAATAAATATAGAAAAGACTGTATTCATACTTATATAGCAAAGCAAATCTTGTGGGCTTTTCAGCATTTCAAAAAGGGATGTTACATGATCATGGTTGCTGTAAGATCAGTATTTACTCTCATTATACAAGAAAATGACCCAACAACATTCATTTTAAGGAACTTCACAACTTCTGAATAGCTAGATATTGCAAACTAAACTCATAAATATACTTTGATAGTTCCATACAAGTTTCTTAATAAAAACTGTTCCAGTAAATAAATGACAGTTGAAAACTTGAAAATACAAATATTTGAATATTGTCAATAATATATTTATACCTTTTATAAATATACAACTGTTGTTATTTGAACCTTTGTTAAAAGAAATCTACAATACAACTGTTTCTAATCAGCTTTAGTATGAAGAAGACATACCTAAAATGAAAAGAGAATTTGATTTTCTTCTTCATTGAAAATAAGCTACAAATACATTTCCTCTTCTTCTATCTCCTTGTACGTTTTCAAAAAACAGGAGTATTTTAGCTTCTAGAAAATAAAAGATAAATAGAAGTGCAAATGCTTCAGTTTCAATATCTATAGTTTGTTTTTAACCAAATGAAGATTGTTGTATATTAATGCAGTACATGTTCAGGTCCAAATGCTTTCGTTTTAATTTCTTTCGCTCTTTCTTTAAATTCTTTTGCTTTTTCGTACTCTCCCATATCATCGTAAACCGAACCCAGATTGCTGTACGTTGTCGCAATATTAACATGGTCAGGTCCGAATGTTTTTGTTTTAATTTTTATCGCTCGTTCATAAAAATCTTTTGCTTTTTCGTACTCTCCCATATTATAGTAAACCGAACCCAGATTGTTGTACGTTGTCGCAATATTAACATGGTCAGGTCCAAATGTTTTCGTTTGAATTTCTATCGCTCGTTCATAAAAATCTTTTGCTTTTTCGTACTCTTCCATTTTACTGTAAACCGAACCCAGATTGTTGTACCTTATCGCAATATTAACATGGTCAGGTCCAAATGTTTTCGTTTCAATTTCTATCGCTCGTTCATAAAAATCTTTTGCTTTTCGTACTCTCCCATTTATTGTAAACCAACCCAGATTGTTGTACGTTGTCGCAATATTAACATGGTCAGGTCCAAATGTTTTCGTTTCAATTTCTATCGCTCGTTCATAAAAATCTTTTGCTTTTTACTCTCCCATTTCCTTGTAAACTAACCCAGATTGTTGTACGTTGTCGCAATATTAACATGGTCAGGTCCAAATGTTTTCGTTTCAATTTCTATCGCTCGTTCATAAAATCTTTTGCTTTTCGTACTCTCCCATATTACTGTAAACCGAACCCAGATTGTTGTACGTTGTCGCAATATTAACATGGTCAGGTCCAAATGTTTTCGTTTCAATTTTATCGCTCGTTCATAAAATCTTTTGCTTTTCCGTACTCTCCCATATCACTGTAAACCAAACCCAGATTGTTGTACGTTGCCGCAATATTAACATGGTCAGGTCCAAATGTTTTCGTTTGAATTTCTATCGCTCGTTCATAAAAATCTTTTGCTTTTTTGTACTCTCCCATTTTCTTGTAAACCAAACCCAGATTGTTGTACGTTGACGCAATATTAACATGGTCAGGTCCAAATGTTTTTGTTTGAATTTCTATCGCTCGTTCATAAAAATCTTTTGCTTTTTCGTACTCTCCCATTTTACTGTAAACCGAACCCAGATTGCTGTACGTTGCCGCATTATTAACATGGTCAGGTCCAAATGTTTTCGTTTCAATTTCTATCGCTCGTTCACAAAAATCAATTGCTTTTTCGTACTCTCCCATTTCATTGTAAACCAAACCCAGATTGTTGTACCTTATCGCAATATTAACATGGTCAGGTCCAAATGTTTTCGTTTCAATTTCTATCGCTCGTTCATAAAAATCTTTTGCTTTTTCGTACCCTCCCATTTCCTTGTAAACCAAACCCAGATTGTTGTACGTTCTCGCAATATCAACATGGTCAGGTCCAAATGATTTTGTTTGAATTTCCATTGCTCGTTCATAAAAATCTTTAGCATTTTCATATTCTCCATTCTTCCATAGCAATAAACCCAGTTTGTTGTACGAATATGAAACATCAATATGATCAACACCTAACACTTTAGTTTGAATTTCTGTTATTTCAGAAAGTACTTTAGTTGCAAGTTTATAGTTGCAAAATCTTTCCAAAACATCTACAAAATATTTGGCAAATTTCCAATTTCTTTCATCAAGTTTTTGTTTTCTAATGAAAAAAAAGAATGATTTTACATCGATCAACTTATTTAGGAAATGTTGAAATGATGAATTTGTGATGAATTTATTTAGATGTGGAATTATTTGGATTTCATCTTCTCTGTCTTCAAAATGATTTAGTGCCCAAGCAACTTGACAGGCAAGATTTGCAGCAGACTTTTTAGAATTATTTTCGTTTTGTTTACAGCCAAAGGTCTGCGATGAATAATTTATGATGGCTTCGTGTACAACGCTGTGCAGGCGGATGTCGTTGTTTTCCGTTTGAAGGAATAAAGAACAATGCTTTAATTGAAGACAGACATTTTCTTCAGATTTTTGTGGATCAATGCTTTTAATAAATTGTATTATAACATCTTGTGGTAAGGGATCAAAAGATATTATTGAGAAAAGTTTAAAAACATGTTCCAACAAGATGGATTCTTCGGCATTTTGTTGTACTGCTAAAATAACAGTTTTCATTCCTAAGTAAGCTGGGTTCATTTTTATAAAATTGCCATCCATGTTCTCTCGCTCTCCTTTATTCAACTTATCAAAATATTGCTCCCACGTGAATGTCGGATTTACACTTTTTACTCTACCTACGTAGGAAGCAGCATTTGCCATGAACAACGGTTGACGATCTAATTTGTCTGATACATCCTTTAAAAACTTTTCATCTTTATTATGAATATCAGAAAAGACAGATAAAAGTTCTTGACATTCTTCATTGTTCATACCATGACTAACTGAAATGTGTTTATTTAGATTTCCATTTGGTGGTATAGCATCTGTATTTTGGACAGTTACTATAATTTGACCATTTTTCCAGCTATGATCACCAACTTGAGGTAATAATGGATAAATTTTATGAAGTTCAACCACGTTATCTACAACAATCCACCATGTTTGCCAAGATTTCAGTTGTTGTGTCAGCAATAATTGAAAATCTTTAATTTTGTCTTCGCTGCTTTTTGCTTTTTTCAGAATATTTTCAATGACAGTTTTATCATTGCTTAATCGTTTACAAAGTTCAGCATAAGTTTTCAAAAGAGAGTCGATATCTTTTCCTTCGAGTGTCATCACAAATGTTGTATTCTTTTGCCAGTCAAACGAGTTATACATTTCTTCACAAATTTGTCTAGCTAATTGAGATTTACCACTGCCAGGATTACCAGAAATATAGTAATATGTTAGTTCATTATTGTTAGTACTGCGCAAGTTATTGAGATCTGCTGTGATTTGATTAAGCAACTCTGTACGTTTAACCACATCGTGATTTGATTTGCAAGGAAGTACTTGAAAAGAATAAAATATGTTTCGTTCACTTTTTATTTTGATAATTTCAGTGAACGAAAATCCTAAATCTTGAAATGAGTTTTCAATATCACAAACCATTGTATGAAATTCGATCAGAAACTTTTCCTTTATTTTCATGGATGAATTTGTTTCTTACATCACGAAGTTTGTCCACAGCAGCTCTAACTTTTCATAATTTTTGTTCCAATTGATTGGGTAAACAATATTGCTTTACATTGTCGTGCAATCCCACTTACTTGTGTCACCATCTTTAAGTTTTGACAATATTTTTTCATCACGAAATATGTTTGTTGATCTTTCAATGTTGAACAACTTCTGACCACTAACGTTTGTATTTTCCCATTCTCCGTGGAATTTTTTGTAATGAGTGTTCCATTCTTGGATAAAAAGATCAACAAGTTTCTTTTCAACATCTGTAAGTACTTTCTGCAGAGAGGAGTTATTAATTTCTTCCCTTGACTGCATCTAAAGATCATAAAATTATTAATATCAACATAAATTGGTTCTTTAATTAGAGTTTATAGACAACTAAAATTGTTGAAGATCAAACATAGCTACGTAATGTTACAGTTTTACTTGTACGTGTAAATGAATATCGAGGATGGCAGCTGAAAACAACGCAATTGGACATTTTAGTTTTCCTGCATTTAGGCATTTGGCTATATTTTGGTAGTGGCGTCGCTAGGATTTTGCGAGTAGGGAGAGGGGGGATTTATTACCACGTCCGTCGATAGCAAAATGGCCCTAAACACTGCTTCTACACTGGGAAATTTTTATCACAACATGAATAGTTTCAATTATTTAACTTCCCAGTTTAACCTTGGCGGATTTGTACATTTTTTGTGTTAAAACGTTACGTAGATTGATTGATTTTAATGAAATGCTTTCATTTTATAATACTTTCAGTATTTTCATGAGCCTTACTCTTAGTCATTGCTATATTTGTATTTTTGTGTCTACAAGTTTGAGTCTACGAGTATACTTGTCCACGATCTCATACAAGTTCTATGATATGGTGTAATGTGGTTCAAGACATGCATCACAATATTACTTGTTCTTCCTTGCCTGCTAGAGACTTGATATATTCTAGAATTATTGTTTTGTTCTTTTCATTTTTAAGAAATTAAAGTCTTTACCACACGGCTAACAACCTAGAAAGGGTAAATACAACGCAAACTAGTCTACACGGCTAGTAGAATGCTTCCTTTTACAGTGAAGTTTTGTGAATTCGTAATAACTACATTAATGCCATATGCTTCTTTTTCAATTTCGAATGATGCATACGAACTCTTATCAAATTGAAATGGAGGCACTTGGGGGCACAGCTAATTTTAGGGGCGTGCCCTTTCCAAACCCCAATTTAGCGACGCCACTGCATGTTGGAATGAAAATGGAGGTACTGAGTTATATTATCATTTAGGAAGGTGTTTAACAATTTGTCTAACTGACACACAAAATGAGTTACGCTTTTGCAGAGTTGGTCCAATGTCTGGACGACAGAAGTTTGTCTCTTGTGATTCGGGAGGCGAAAGACAATGGACGGAGAGCTTTAGAAATCCTCAGACATCACTATTAAGGCAAAGGAAAACCTCGCATCATCGCTCTTTATACGGAACTTACTTCGCTGTAGAAAAGTGACGACGACACTGTCAAAGATTATATATTGCGAACGGAACGATCGGCAACAGTCTTAAGAGAAGCAGAGGAGATAATAAGTGATGCACTACACATTGCAATGGTTTTAAAGGGTCTGAAAAGTACGTACGACGTCTTTGCTACCGTAACAGTTCAAAGTGAAAGACAAATGACATCTACGGAATTTAAAAACTCGTTACGAAGTCATGAAGAAAATATCAAACCATTGTCACCAAAAACTGAGGTAGGTGACAACGTTATGTATGTGAAACCACTTGAATAAATAGACTACACCAGATCTCAGCGGTTTGGGAATTTTGTCCTTAAAGGGGAAGAAAGAAGAGATACGTTGGGAAGGGCGCAAAACAAATTTAATAGATATATGTGGGAAGGCTGCAGCACAAAGGCTATAGATTTGTGTACGAATTTGAAGGGTATATGCCGGTGAAGGAAACAAAATAGCTGGGCATTTTGTGAGCAGTCACAAGTGTTTTTAGAGACAAGGTGTTGATAAAAAACCGTTTTGGTGAGTGACTTTCTGGTAAATTCGAGTTGTGTATGAAAATTTTCGTATTAGAACAAAGTTGAAAGATGCGGTGACCACACGTCATACACACCAGATTTTCAGACACTGGGGATATACAGACAATCAAGTTTAGCTGCGTTATCAAGCATCTTTGCTCACATTAACGCAACTGGAAACACCCCAACTTAGAACAGACTTGAAATAATCTCCTCTTCTAACGATTCTTATGAACTCTCCATTCACGAAAGTTTAATCAAATAACAAGCCTTTGCCATAACGTGCAAGAAAACTCCATTCCATAAATCTTTTAATTTCTTTTATTTTACTTCCCAACTTCATTATCATATAATCCATTTGACACCGCCTCCTTCAGTAGTAATTTAACACCTTTTGTAAATATAATGTATCTTGCACACATCCTATTTTATTTGTCTGAAGTTGAAATGAGTAAAGACAGAACGTTACAATAAATTCAATTTACAATATTTTTGGAAAACTATTTATATTTGGGCACTAATTTTTTATTATGATTCAAGTAAGCACTATTGCTAATGCGCATTTAATACCACGACAAGTTTTTAAAATAGACATGTTTTGACATCTCATGATGCCATCTTCAGTATGAGTGAAATAATAAAGTACAAGGGTTATATAAAGTAATATGATACATAAATGCAACAATAAGGAAATAAGATAAATTGGAGCGTCGAACGTATTAAATTCAATATAATATTTGGTTTATAATACGCGGACATACTTCAATATTTGATTTATGTATCATATTGTTCACCATCACTTTCACTCATAATGAAGATGGCATCATGAGATGTCGAAACATCTATTTTAAAAACTTGTCGTGTATATTAAATGCTCATTAGCAATAGTGCTTTACAGAAATTACCCATGAATATCTTATTTCTCACTACCTCAGTGACCATGCACTGATTATCGATGTAGAACATTACTATTATATAGTAGAAATTTATTTCTTTTTATTATTATATAAAGATATATGAAAGTTAACAAGTGCATTTTGCAAACTTGATTCGAGCTAGTTCAAATCTCACCAAAATCAACAAATTTATCTTTATAAAACATTTACATACTGTATAACTTGCCCAAGTAGAATATTTTGAAAAACAAAATAATGATAAAAATGAAACATTAAATGCATTAAATCAAAACACCTTTTGACTGCATCATTTGCATCATTGAACTCAAATACATTGCATGATTTTATCCTTCACCATTTTATTGAAGACTGATGGTGTGATCTTTGAGTCTCTTGATGCTCTATTTATTGGACGAAGGAAAAAGCTGGGCAGAGTCTTGGAAAACCTCTACTTGGACAACTGATGTTCTATAATCAGACACATGTTGATCAATTTGTTGCCAATTATACCACACCTACATCAAACAAGGTCAATGTAGCTTTAATATACTTTGTTATTCTAATGAAAATTCAGGCATGGAAGTTACAGTGCTTTGAATATATTTGATTTTTTTACATTCTCTACCACATAGTTTTTATTTTCAATAAATTGGTGCCATGGGCTTTAGGAAATAAAGCTCTTGTATACTTTTTTGTTTGTTATTGATACTTATAGGAGTGTCATGGTTTTCTTGCTGGGAATGCTGTTCGATCAATGAATCGCTACAGAGCTCTTGATGAAACAGCAATCTTTGGGCGAGGCTGTCGACATGAGTTTTCTAAAAAATTCTTAAATTTGAAACAAGGAGAGAGGTCTGTTACACACATTTTTCTCTATTTTTACCTAAATGTTCTTGGTTTGAAAGAGGTGGTTAGGATGCATGCATTTGCTGGTGTAAATTTATTTTTTTCAGTTGGTTTGCTACTTTCAATGCTTTGTGCAAGTGCTGAAGCTTTTTGCATACATGTGGTTGCATTATTTAAAAATATATTCTACATATTTTATAGATTGAGCTATGCAGTTTATGTTCTCCAAGAATTAGAGAAAGATAATATTGATAATCCTGCACTCAAAATAAACATATTGTATGATGTTGCATGCATGTTGGTGAAACACTTACAGGTAATATTCAATTGACAATAGTTGCTTTGTTACCTGTTTCCTTTGTCAATAACTTCCCCTCAACACCTTTTTTCTTTGAAAAGACAGTCTTTCACATGTTTTTCTTCATTTTGTTTTTTACAAAAAGAATTTGGAGAATCCGATTGTTGACATTTTTCAATTTTCAATTCCAATTTTTCATTGCTATGGACATGTTGGACGATGCGAAGTTAGTTTTTATTGTTTTTATTTTTCATACGTATTAACAGATGGTGATACCTATGCTATCATAACTAATGGTATTGTAGATGATAAAATGATAAAAATTCAATAATTGTTTACTAAATCTTTCTTGTAAAAGGTTAAATTTAGTCCCCGTCGTAAAGAAGGATTTGGCCTAACTGACGGTGAGATGTTGGAGAGATTGTGAGCTTACATTCGCAAATTTAGCAGAATGACTAAAGAAATGCGTCCAAATCACAGAGTTGATGTACTCAGTGATGCTCTTTTACATTATGGAAAGAAAACGGAGATTAATTTAGGTATAGCTGTTGAACCGCATGTTGACGTTTGTTCTCAGTATAGGACTGGTCTCGGGGCTAAGCTGGGAAGGAAAACGGATCGAATGCTTCGTGGCTTAATTGCATCAGATTACACAACCAATGATAACATCTTCTCCATTGATGTTCGTATAACCCAGAGAAAACCAATCAAACATATTAAAATAAAGAAGGGATACAATTATGGCAAATGCAACTGTATAGAAATTATAACTAATAGTATCCCAAGAGTATCCTTTAAACGTTGTGGATCACCAAATGTATTTGTACCATCCATAATGTTGTCTAATATTATGTCGCTGGCCCCAAAAATCGATGAACTACATGCGTACATTGCCAGTTCAAGTGTGGATATTCTATGCATCGTGGAAACTTGGTTGCAAAGTCATATTGATGATAACATTGTTTCGCTACCTGGATACAATTTAATTAGACGCGATAGACGTGAACGCATTCATGGTGGTGTTTGCGTCTATATTAAAAATACAATTAACTTTAGTATCCAGCAAGACCTTTTAACAAATGAGTTCGAAGCATTATGGCTAGATCTTAGACTGACCCGCTTACCAAGAGGCGTGTCCAATATTATTTTATGTAATTTGTACCACCCACCGGGGGCGAATGATGAGGCTATGATCAATTATCTTTTTGAATCACTACAAACAGTTGAAACAAAATTTCCAAACTGTGGGATAATTATCTCGGGCGATTTTAACAAATTGAACGTTCGTCTGTTAAAGAATAGTTTCCAACTGCGTCAGATCGTAAACTTCCCTACTCGTGGCAATAATAAGCTCGATTTGATTTTAACAAATTTGAAAGAATTCTACGGTTCTCCAATTAAACGTCCACCCTTTGGACTATCCGATCATGTTACCGTAGAAGTGCAACCACTAAAAAGATCTGAAAACTCTGGGACAAAAGTAGTGGTAATGTCAAGGGATTTGCGACCATCCAAACGTTCGGCCTTTGGTAAATATTTAGAAGAGGTTAATGTCGAACAGTGGGTAGGAAGAAATAGTGACGACAAAATGAAAAATAGTGATGACAAAATGAAAATGTTAGAGCTCATCATTAACTTTGGTCTTGATTTCCTACTCCCCACAAAAAAGAAGGTGCTGATCAATAATGAGCCTCCTTGGATGACCAAATCGCTAAAACAACTGATCCGCCGAAGGGAAAAAGCTTTTGCACAAAAAGACCTTGACTCCTTCAAGAAATTAAGAAACCAAGTAAACCGAGAAAGAAAATCTTGTCGGAAACGTTTTTACCAAAACAAAGTAGAGCATTTAAAATCGTGCTCATCTGCAAGTTGGTGGAAGGAAATCAAAAAGTTAAGTGGTATTTCACCGTCGGTTTCTTCACAGGAAGATATGATGTCAACGTTGCAAAATATTGATAATGCACTAACACCCTCTGATCACTTTCCTGAGCAACTTGCAAACATGATCAACGAATCCTTTCTAACACCCATGAAAGATTTTAACCCACTGCCCCAACAGTTATGCTTTGATAATGAGAATGATGATTTCCCGAGGTTATTACCTGTCACTGAGTTTACTGCTTTCAAGATGTTGTCAGCTCTTAACGCAAGGAAAGCAATTGGCCCAGACGGTATTCCCGCCTGGGTTCTAAAAGAGAATGCTGATTTATTGGCCTCTCCCGTGGCAGATATTATAAACAGCTCCTTTAAAGAGGCCCGGTTACCATAATCATGGAAAAAAGCAAATATTATACCGATTCCAAAGCAGAAACCTGTACGAGATATTAATAAACACTTAAGACCTATATCACTTACTGCGATTGTATCAAAAGTAGCCGAGGAGTTTGTTGTGGAAAATTATGTCAAGCCAGCTGTACTTAAGAAGATAGACTCTAATCAGTATGGGGCAATTCCAAATTCAAGCACAACTATAGCTTTACTTAGTATGTTACAGTCGTGGAATAAAGCAACTGATGGTAACGGGGCGGCCGTTCGTGTGTTGTTATTGGATTTCAAGAAAGCTTTTGATCTGATTGATCATAACCTATTGGTTGAAAAACTACGTTTATTTGATATACCGAAATGGGTTCTACACTGGATTATGGATTTCCTCTCCTTCAGGAAACAAAGAGTAAAGCTGAAATTCGATTGCTTTTCAGAGTGGGAACTCGTACCTGCAGGCGTTCCGCAGGGCACAAAATTGGGGCCTTGGCTATTTTTGATAATGATTAACGATCTCAAGTTACCAAATAATAAAATGTGGAAATTCGTGGACGATACCACTGTTAGTGAAGTAATTGAGAAAGATCAAACAAGTAACTTACAAAACCAAATGGACACATTAGCGAACAGCATCTCGCGTGATAAGTTCCAGTTAAATGAAACCAAATGTAAAGAGATGCGAATATATTTTGGATCTAATACCAATGACCTTCAACCAATTACCATCAATAACATTACACTGGATACTGTCCAACACGCGAAAGTTTTGGGATTGGTTATAGCCAGTAACCTTAAGTGGAACATCCACGTAAATGAAATAATTAAGAAATGCCGTAAACGCCTCTATTATCTTATTCAACTAAAACGAGCAAATATCGAAGTCAAGGAATTGCTCCAATTTTACAAAACGTGTATAAGACCTGTCTTGGAGTATGCTTGCCCAGTCTTCCACAATAGTCTGACATTGTATCTGTCAGATAACCTAGAGTCAGTCCAAAAGCGAGCATTAAAAATAATCCTGCCTCATCAAGAATATGAAAACGCTCTGCAGTTTACTAATTTACAACGCCTTAGCGAAAGGAGGAATGATATAACAACAGCTTTGTTTCAGAAGATAGTAGCAGATTCCTCACATAAGCTTCATGACCTTTTGCCTCCTCGTTTAGAACGTTCAACTATGGAACTTAGGACTCAATCTTCATTCAATACTAATTTTAATACCAAACGTTTTAGAAATAGTTTTATAACTTTTAACTCATTAAAGATGTAATTTAGTTAATTTATTTATGCATGTATTATATGTAATCTTAAACGTATTTCAGCAATATGGCTGCCAGTTTTTAAGAAATAAATCATCTATCTATCTATCTATCTAGCTAGTTTTTCTTTCTTTGTTTGAACATATACATAGCTAACATGTCATCATATTATGTAATAGCAGGTATGAATTAAATTTTGTTTTTTTAGGCAATTTGCTGGTGGCAAGGATGAAGCGAGCTGTTGACGTGGAAGAAACTGCAAAATCAGAAATTGAAAAGTTATGCAGGTGCTTTCCGTGTGAGTATATGTTTGTATTTGCTGTGTGATTATATTTGACTCCGATTTGGATATGAATTATTTACGACTCACATGAAAGCAGTAAATTTTCTTTTTTTCATTATCTAAAGCTCACAGCACTTCAATAGATGATATTCGTGAGTAGATGAAGGACGAATCGACTTTTTTTGGTCGTGAAGTTGAGACTGGTTAGTAATTGAGAAACAATGGCTTGTAGCTAAGGAACAGATTTGACACATAATTATTGATGCTCATTATGTGGAAATGTTTTACCCAAAGAAAACTTTTTTTAACAAATATACGTAAATCTTGAACAACTTACAGAAGAAGAAGATTGGAAATGCAAGTACGTTATATACCTGGACTTGTACGCTGATCTTTACCATCGATGGAATGGTTGCACTGATCCAAGTGAACTGACTGTTCCATTTAATCAGATGAAAAAGTATGTTCGAAAAGTTCAACATGTTTCTAGAGATATTAAAGTCATAGACAGTGTGAATTTAGAAAAATGAAGTGGGAAAATTTTGAAGCTATGAATGTACGTCGTAACATTGTGAATAATAAATTGGAAGATCGAATAAAAAATTATTTCTTGTTTTTATACGTACGTACAAGTAGAGATGTATATGCAACTTGCAAGTGCTTATCTGACCGTGTTTTATATTTGTAATGATTTGGTATTTACTGTTTAGAATGGACGAGCAGTTGAAGATCATGGAAAGGGAAAACTCAATTTCTGCACGCAGGCAAAATACTGACTCAGAGTACGAAAATGTATAGGCTTGGTAATGTTTTATGTTTATATCAATTGTTACCCATTAAGATTTGCTGGGGAAGTTGAGAAAGCAAAGGATAGCAAGGGATTGACTGTGTTTGAAGCTACAAAACAGCCGGCGGGAGATAAGAGTAAGAGAGAGGATAGGGGAGATCCTGGTGTGATTGATGGATACAAGGGTACGATTACTACAATAATCATAACTTTTGGAAGGTTGTCCTAATATCTCTTATTCTCTGTTATCCTATAGGACCATGGAGTAAGTTTGTTGATGAAGAAACTATTGCTAAACCATCTGACGTATTTCAATTACCCAAATAAAGAGTTTTATAAAGACATTTTTCAACTCAAACAATTATTTTTCTGGCATTTTACCTTGGTAAATAGAGGAAGAGTCAACAATACTTGAGGAGTATGAATTATCGAAGAAAAACAAATCAAAGAAAGATGATATGAAACCTTCAGAAGAGAAATCCACATTACACAGTAAGTTAAAATTTTCATACTTTCTTGTAGTTTCCTAAACTTTACCAAAGGTAATTATTTTTCAGTTAAAGATGCATATGACTATCAAGGAAGATCATATCTTCACATTCCACAAGATCTTGGCATTAATCTCAAGTCAGATACTCCTTCAGAACGTTGCTTTCTACCAAAACAACATATTCATACGTGGTATGTAAACAATTCTCCATTTAGTTCATTTATTCAAAATCAAAAAATTGAAGTTAAAATACCAGAAATGACTTTAAACACGCTATTGAATTTTAGTTATTCTTGTATTTGTTTGTTTTCTGTTACTTTACTGTAAAACAAAAACGGAAGAAATATGAAAGTTTACTTACTAAAATGTAATTAGAAACGCCATGGAACGTCTGACTTCGAGTCATCAATGTGCTTTAAATTTTGTAGATTTTAAGGAAAACACGCAATAATTGAATTAAGTTTAAAGACAGTTTATGATATAATTCTTGATGGTATTGAGGAAGTTCAATTATACATTACAGTATTCATTAGAGAAAGCGTCTCATGCAAATATAAACTTAAAATATGAGCGTTTTTTTAATATGATGCTTCTGTTTGAGTCAAGACGTTTAGGTGATCATTTGATATGTTTATAAAATCATATTTATCAGTGTATATTTATTATAAAGTAATGATTTGTTCTAGTACTACGTACGTATGTTTGTAGATACTGTATTGGACTAGCACTTGTTTTAAGAAACACGGCTAACCTGACATTTACTGATCATTCGACTCTGAAAATGACTACTGCAAAGGTTGTCGAAACGTCATTCAACATCAACACCAACAGTCCTTCACAGGACTCTACTAACCTCGACAAAAACGTAACGATACTTCCTGATGCAAATATTCACTTTATACAGCACTTTTTAATAACATTTAAGTATTTGTTTTCCTGTAGTTCATCCTTCTACCGTCGTGATAAAAGAAAGCAATGGATATATTCTTACTTATGTATTATTGTATTATTTTATCTTTCTCTTAGGTCTGGTCACACTAAAGGTGTTTCTGCAATAAGATTCTTTCCGAAATCTGCTCATCTTCTTCTGTCGTGTAGCATGGATTGTAAAATTAAGGTAAAAAGTCATTTTCTCTGTCTTACATGTCGTTGTTCATTTTGAGTTTGGTTGTACATCGTTGAATGTTCCTCCAACATTACTGGAGGTGGCAATTTTTAATAAATTACCATCACGACAAGCAATACATTTGAAACAATACATTTCCTTTCAGAAACTGCAAGATGATATTCATGTAAGCGCCAACGGCTCTGTTTTTAAAAAATCTAACATAAGACGAGGAATTTTACCCAGGTAATGTGGGATATTTTACATTCATTTGGTTACAGGTCACATTTTTATTGATTCAAAAGATTGTTGAAAAAATAACGTTTGCGTTTTGTTGTATATTTTGCAATGTACATAGCGTTCCGTCTTAAGTCTTTACTCTCCTAAATGGTCTGGATATCTTTGGCTATTATATGTTCAACAAATTTGATTTATTTTAGAATGTTATAGGAGATATTACACACACGTATTATGGTAAAGAAAGCTATGAAAGATTGTAAAGATGATAAAGTAAGTTGGTTTTATTAAACCTTTGTTTTTGAAGCGATTTTTGATGTTTCTATAAGATCCATTAGCTAAAACGTCATTGAGTTTTCATCATTTTCAAAAAAGATGCCTTTGCACTCTTCGTTTGTTTTCTTGAATCATTCAATATCATAAATAATTTACATTTTAGACTCTTCTTCAACTTCTTGATGCTCGACAACTTGCTTTAAAGTTGATTGCAAATGTCACTTATGGTTACACATCAGCAAACTTCTCAGTTGGAATGCAGTGTGTTGAGGTAACTTTGATCTTGTCATGATAGAAATTTAAACAAACGATAGCTCTCCCCATTCCATCTAAACAGACCGTGGGCCGTAAACTTTGTATTAATTGATCTTATGTATATTATATATATTATATAATATAGATAAGATCAATTAACGAAACCGTCTACAAAAGAATCCGACCCAACGACTCCTCCACCGCCAAATTCTATGGACTACCAAAGATTCACAAAGAAAACAACCCGCTACGACCAATTGTATCTCTTCCTGGATTTCCCACGTATGAGCTATCAAAATATCTTTCTAATATTCTGCACCCACTAGTCAAATCATCACATCATACTATCAAAAATGCCACAACTTTCCTCACCAATATTAAAAATGTAAAACTAAAACCAGACGAAATCATGATATCTTACGATGTAGTGTCACTTTTCACATCCATACCACTAAACATAGCCAAACAAGTCACAAACGAAGTACTTGCTAACAACAACTCATGGAAAATCACAACCGAACTAGACCAAGACGATATCATCGACCTGCTCGAGCTCTGCCTCTCCACTGAATGCACCTTCCAAAATTCGTATTACCGACAAATCTCAGGAACACCAATGGGTTCTCCTTTATCCACCTTCCTTGCAGAAGCTGTTATGCAACACCTTGAAAAGCAATCAGTCACCAACAACACACACATCAGACTATGGAGAAGATTTGTTGACGACATCTTTGCTATCGTCGAAAAAGACAAAACAGAGCACATTCTACACACAATAAACAACACCACACAGAACATAACCTTCACCATGGACAAAGAACAGAACAAACAACTTACCTTCCTAGATATTTTACTTACCAGATCACATGACGGCACATAAAACACACAAGTATTCCGCAAAAATACACACACGGACCAAATACTCAACTTTAATAGCAATCACCCAACACAACACAAAATTAGTTGCATACAAACAGTCTTTAACAGGATTAAAACACACTGCAATACAGAAGAAGCCAAGAAGAATGAACGCAACTACTTATACTCTACATTCAAAAACAACAATTACCCACGAAACTTTATCAACAAAGTACTAAACAAAATACACAACAAACCACAAACTGAAAAACCTAACGAAGATACAGACGAACCAGTAAAAATAGTGACATTACCATATACGGAACATCAGAAATGACATCATAAACGGAATTACCAGATAAACATTACCAGATAAACGGAACATCAGAAATGACATCAAGACTACTCCGACCATTCAAAATAAACATCGCACACAAACCAACCCACAAACTCAAATCATACTTCACTAAACATAAAGACCGAACAACGACGTTTGACACGACCAACGCGGTCTACATGATACCATGTAAAGATTGCCCCAAACAGTACATAGGACAAACATCCAAGAAAATTGAAACAAGACTCACTGAACACAAGAATGCCATCAAACGACGCGACCCAAAATCACTACCAGCAGAACATACCTACGATACCAACCACACATTTGACTGGACAAAAACACAACTTCTTGGACGCGCACAGACAAAACACGCACGAGAATTCAAAGAGGCATGGTACAGCAAAGACAACAACACAATAAACAGACATATTGACATCCCCATCATCTATTCACAACTAAAGACAAAACCAAAACAACAAACTAATAACACAACGACTAAAATAAAACACTCAAATTTCATTAACGCAATCCATACACCCGAAACCATGACAACGCATCTTATACCATCCAATAATATCAACTCAACAACTAACCAACCAATCAGACGCTCCAAACGCCTACAAAATCTTTGTAAATAATATATTCGCACATTCTGACGAAGGCTCGAAGCACCGAGTTGAAAGCTTAATAAAAAAAAAAAATTTAAAACAAATCCAGAGAATCCTTATCATTATCATATATTATATAGGTATATTTTTGGTTCCATGTCTTGTCTTGAAAATTCATCCGCCATCTTTTTACCCAAATGCATGATGGGAAATCGCCAGTCAATCTGAGAAGCGTTCACATTTAACATAAATAACCAAAATAAGTTCCGTACACCGCCGTTTAGCCGTCGACATGCCAGGAAACTTGAACACAACTCAACTTTTACGGCATTTCGGCGGCATACTGCAGGTAACTCCTACGACTGCCTGACTCAACATTAGTGTGTCAGCGATGAGCTTTTACATTTGCCTTAAGAACAACGCAGGCATCGTCACAGGTATGCCTCAGTCATGTCTCAGTCATATGTGAACCTGGCTTTACGCAAGCAGCAAACCTTAAAAATTAAAGCGTTGGCTCATAAAAAACAAAAAGAAATGAGATGCAATTAGCAAGTCATTTTTACTTGTGTACCATGTAGAATTAAGTCACGCCTAAGAACTGACCAATCAGAAAACACACGCTTTCCGCAACTTGGGGCATATTTTAAGATCAACTCAAACTGTCAATGCGTTATTTAAATCTCTACCTTCCTACATACACGAAGAATATTTGCCGAAAGCGAAATATATCTTTCACTTTTTCGATAACATGTTCAGGTAAATGTGATTTTTGATATTCGTGTTAGGAGAGAACTCTCTCTTTGTGAAATGTAAACGACATTAATATCTTTATGCAAAATGTGTGACCTAAATATACGTCTTCTTATAAAGTTTTCGTTTTTGTTAATGTTAATTCTTTGCTTTATTTTAGACATGAACATTTTTCTGTTAATGCGATTGAGAAACATAGAACAAATGTTGGTGGTTTTAATTCACCATGATGGAGGACTTATATAAATAAAGAAATTGATTATTGACCACGATGAAAACGTATTTGGCTTTTGTTCACCATTCCCTTGAGGATGAGGTATTTACGAATTGATATTCTACTTCGTCTGAATTGCTTTATAACTGAGGAAATATTAAGATGGTATGTATCTTTTTCCTCCTTAATCGTTTTTGACAGTAATTTTACAAGACGTATATATATTGTGAGTCCACCAGTCCGTTTACATGGCAAGCTATGAATGGGAACTCAAAAGATTTTGATCTTTAGCGACGTTTCAATCTCCAGTATCTCCAAGTCAAATGCACTTTATTGGCCTTTGGCTGTTTTAAAACGTTTTCCTGAGCATTTTTCTATCTTAGATCACGATTCTTGTCTCAACAGCTGCATGTTCGAAAGACAAGTCACTTTTAACCAAAGATTTATGATGGTAAGATTTTTACAGCAACAAAATAAACTTATGAGAAAGTTATGTTTATCTGAGGTGTTTAAATTAGCTATTGTAACTTTACACAATTTCATTTTCTTTACAGATTAATAAAATTACGCCATTATCAAACGCTCAAATTTTGACATTTTTTAATGTGAAAATCTTGTGGAATGAAAACATGGAATTTATCTTTATGAAAAAAACAAATTATAAAAATCCTAATTTTCTTACTACAGTCAATATTTTCAATTTCATGCGTGTGCGACATGCACAGTTATAATAAATGGCCAATCTTGTTTCTGTGCTTGCCGTCGTCGACATGAAACTGAGGATGTTTGTCAGATAGCCTGAAAATTAGCTTGGTACGGTGGTTAATGTCGTCCATTCTTTTTCTTCCGAAACAACTTTAAATGCTTTCAGTTTGTTGGTCCAAATGTCTAAAATCTAATGAAAAAAATAGTAATTTATCTTTTTGTGAAACGACAATCCTTGCACATTATAATGTTTTTGTCTGACTTTAGTCTTTACGTCTACTTTTGTGTCTACCTTTTTGTTTCCATTAGTCTTCGTCTTTTTGTCAATCTTACGTATATCTTTTTGTATATTTTTTTGCCTTTATTTGTGTTACCTTTTTGTCTATGTTTTTGTCCACATTTGGGTCTACCTCAGTTTCTATACCTTTGCGTCTCTTTTGTTATATATTCGCTTTATAATATGAGGAGTTATATCACAGGAAGAAGAAAGTCTCACAGGAAACCCACAGGTTTCTATTCTGGGTCCTTTGTTATTTCTAATATATTTCAACGACTTGGCTAATGTGATACAATCCTTTAGTTAGGTGATGAGAACTTACATTATAAAGGAAGTTTATAAATACCTTGGCACAAAAATAGACAGTCTTAATCTGAATTCCATTTTAATAAATGCTGCGTCGTTTATGTTCAAGATAGTGCGCGAAAATGATAAAAATTGAATCCTTGAGGATCAATTTTTGCTGAATCATGGAAATTGTAAATGTCAGATAATTTCAAATATTGTCAAGGTTGAAAAATGAGACATCACCATGAAATATGTGATGGTCAGTCAACAAACCAGTAAAATCAAAGTGAAGCACCTTTCATGTTGAGTTCTAGCTAGAACCTAGAACTCTTTTTAAATATTTAAAACTACAGTTACTTATTCAGTAATTTACACACATCACCAAATAAAAGTTGAATTATCTTTTTTTGAAACACCCTGTATCAAGAACTTAGATCCCCAGACCGTGGGGGTTCCCCTTTGGATAAATGAACTTAAATGTAAGTTTCTTTCTAATTACGGTTGGGGATTTACACCTTAATTGTTGTGACAATGTTCTTTTTTTGCTTACATTTAAATGTAGTAAATCTCATTTTTAATTTATATTTGATTTTCTTGAGATCAGAGGTAACCACAACATTTTGTATTGTGATTTTGTGGTAAAATCATTTATGTAGCTGTGAGAATCACTTTCAAAGCAATGTAAAATATAAACTATAGCAAAAGCAAGACATGAATGTCATAGCAATGAAAATGACTCATTACTGTCCATATCATTAGTAAAGACACCAGTAGAAATGACTCATTTACTGTTCTTATCAGTTGTAAAGACATTAGCCAAAAATGTCTAGTGATGTCATTCACTCCTGAACATGGATACATACTTTAAAGGAGGGTGCTGCCATAGAAATATATTCCTAATATAAACTTTTTATAGTTTGTACACAATTTCTCTGATGTTCAAATAATGTTTTGGAAAGAAAATAAGAAGTTCCTTGCAAAATGAAATACTAACTGTTACACACAATGCCAGAGCTCTTCAAGATGCCCTGGGAAAAAATGGCATAGCAGATTCTTTATTTTGGGTAGGAGGCACATATTCAGATATTCATGTTCTGCCACATTAAGTTCCTCTGAAATCCATTGTTTTCAACAGATTCAGACATGCATATATGAATTTGTGCCCCCACCCCCAATTAACAAGTATCCTGTGCCACTGCTGGGATTTTATATATATTAGTAAATCTGGTAGTCTAAAATCTGGTAGTCGGACAGTTAAATGTGTCATTTTCACTTCTGTCAATGCTATGGCAATGATATCCTGCTTTTTCTTCAAGTTATTTATAACTTTTACTTTACATTGCCTTTATAGTTTAAACCATAAAAAAAGTTTTATTGAATCAATCATTAAATAAATATTTCCTCCAAAGTAAAAAAAAACCAAACATTGTCACGACAATTAAGGTGTTAGTCCTCAAATCAACTATGATTGAATCAAATAACAATAACTGCTTGTCCTTTTCAAACAACTACAATTCTCATAAATAGAAAGTATATTTTGTAAATTAGATGAATGAATAGAAATAAATATAGAAAAGACTGTATTCATACTTATATAGTAAAGCAAATCTTGTGGGCTTTTCAGCATTTCAAAAAGGGATATTACAAGATCATGGTTGCTGTAAGATCAGTATTTACTCTCATTATACAAGAAAATGACCCAACAACATTCATTTTAAGGAACTTCACAACTTCTGAAAAGCTAGATATTGCAAACTAAACTCATAAATATACTTTGATAGTTCAATACAAGTTTTTTAATAAAAACTGTTCCAGTAAATAAATGACAGTTGAAAACTTGAAAATACAAATGTTTGAATAGTGTCAATAATATATTTATACCTTTTATAAATATACAACTGTTGTTATTTGAACCTTTGTTAAAAGAAATCTACAATACAACTGTTTCTAATCAGCTTTAGTATAAAGAAGACATACATAAAATGAAAAGAGAAATTGATTTTCTTCTTCATTGAAAATGAGCTACAAATTCATTTCGTCTTTTTCTATCTCCATGTACGTTTTCAAAAAACAGGAGTATTTTAGCTTCTAGAAAATAAAAGATAAACCGAAGTCCAAATGCTTCAGTTTCAATATCTATAGTTTGTTTATAACCAAATGAAGATTGTTGTATATTATTGCAGTACATGTTTAGGTCCAAATGTTTTCGTTTCAATTTTCATCGCTCGTTCATAAAAATCTTTTGCTTTTTCGTACTCTCCCATTTCTTTGTAAACAAAACCCAGATTGCTGTACATTGCCGCAATATTAACATGGTCAGGTCCAAACGCTTTCGTTTGAATTTCTATCGCTCGTTCATAAAAATCTTTTGCTTTTTCGTACTCTCCCATTTTTTTGTAAACCAAACCCAGATTGTTGTACTTTATCGCAATATTGACATGGCCAGGACCAAATGTTTTCGTTTCAATTTCTATCGCTCGTTCATAAAAATCTTTTGCTTTTTCGTACTCTCCCATATTATAGTAAACCGAACCCAGATTGTTGTACGTTGTCGCAATATTAACATGGTCAGGTCCAAATGCTTTTGTTTGAATTTTCATCGCTCGTTCATAAAATCTTTTGCTTTTTCGTACTCTCCCATTTTACTGTAAACCAAACCCAGATTGTTGTACGTTGTCGCAATATTAACATGGTCAGGTCCAAATGCTTTTGTTTTAATTTTATCGCTCGTTCATAAAATCTTTTGCTTTTCGTACTCTCCCATATCATTGTAAACCGAACCCAGATTGTTGTACGTTGTCGCAATATTAACATGGTCAGGTCCAAATGTTTTCGTTTCAATTTCTATCGCTCGTTCATAAAATCTTTTGCTTTTCGTACTCTCCCATATCATTGTAAACCGAACCCAGATTGTTGTACGTTGTCGCAATATTAACATGGTCAGGTCCAAATGCTTTTGTTTCAATTTCAATCGCTCGTTCATAAAATCTTTTGCTTTTCGTACTCTCCCATATCATTGTAAACTGAACCCAGATTGTTGTACGTTGTCGCAATATTAACATGGTCAGGTCCAAATGTTTTCGTTTCAATTTCTATCGCTCGTTCATAAAAATCTTTTGCTTTTCGTACTCTCCCATATCTTTGTAAACCGAACCCAGATTGTTGTACGTTGTCGCAATATTAACATGGTCAGGTCCAAATGTTTTGTTTTAATTTTATCGCTCGTTCATAAAATCTTTTGCTTTTTCGTACTCTCCCATATCATTGTAAACCGAACCCAGATTGTTGTACGTTGTCGCAATATTAACATGGTCAGGTCCAAATGTTTTCGTTTCAATTTCTATCGCTCGTTCATAAAATCTTTTGCTTTTCGTACTCTCCCATATCATTGTAAACCGAACCCAGATTGTTGTACGTTGTCGCAATATTAACATGGTCAGGTCCAAATGCTTTTGTTTCAATTTCTATCGCTCGTTCATAAAATCTTTTGCTTTTCGTACTCTCCCATATCATTGTAAACTGAACCCAGATTGTTGTACCTTGTCGCAATATTAACATGGTCATGACCAAATGTTTTCGTTTCAATTTCTATCGCTCGTTCATAAAAATCTTGTGCTTTATCGTACTCTCCCATATCTTTGTAAACCGAACCCAGATCGTTGTACGTTTTCGCAATATTAACATGGTCAGGTCCAAATGTTTTTGTTTTAATTTTTATCGCTCTTTCATAAAAATCTTTTGCTTTTTCGTACTCTCCCATATCATTGTAAACCGAACCCAGATTGTTGTACCTTGTCGCAATATTAACATGGTCAGGACCAAATGTTTTCGTTTCAATTTCTATCGCTCGTTCATAAAATCTTTTGCTTTTCGTACTCTCCCATATCATTGTAAACCAAACCCAGATTGTTGTACGTTGTCGCAATATTAACATGGTCAGGTCCAAATGCTTTTGTTTCAATTTCTATCGCTCGTTCATAAAATCTTTTGCTTTTCGTACTCTCCCATATCATTGTAAACCGAACCCAGATTGTTGTACGTTGTCGCAATATTAACATGGTCAGGTCCAAATGTTTTTGTTTGAATTTCTATCGCTCGTTCATAAAAATCTTTTGCTTTTTCGTACTCTCCCATATTATAGTAAACCGAACCCAGACTGTTGTACGTTGTCGCAATATTAACATGGTCAAGTCCAAATGCTTTTGTTTCAATTCCCATTGCTCGCTCGAGAAAGTCTTTGGCATTTTCATATTCTCCATTCTTCCAAAGCAATATACCCAACTTGTCGTACGAATATGAAACATCAATATGATCAACACCAAACACTTTAATTTGAATTTCTGTTATTTCATAAAGTAATTTAGTTGCAAGTTTATAGTTGCAAAATCTTTCCAAAACATCTACAAAATAG